ATGTTCATATCGTTATTTACTGTTTGTGCTCCATCTATTATTTTGCCTGCTAGCTGTATGAGAAAGTACACAGTCCAAAAGTATGTGACTCCAACTGTATCACAGAACATAGCTTATTTACTGTTGTATAAATCATAATATTGAGGGAATAACTACCCTCCCTGCTGCCAAATATGCAACAAGAACCAAATTTAGCAATGCTTTACTTAGTGTGCTCTTGCAAGCACTTTGGTGCCTCATGCACATACTGTAACTGGACCTGAAATTTTGCATTAATGCATAATGCGTTACTTTTACCAGGATTTTAACTTTTTCCATCTCACGTTCTCAAAACTTGTTTCCACTTGTCAAGATATGTACTAAGGAGCATGTAATGGACATGGACCATGTCTAAGAAAAACATGGAGGTAAATATTGAAGGTGTGAAGACTTGCAGCTAGATTTCTCAGCTGATGTATACAGATAGCACACGGTGTCTGATGCAGTCCAGCACCTGCTGGACCTATTTGCATATCAGATATAGTTTCAGGTGTATCTTTCTGTAACAATCCTTGATCCCCCATGGGCAACTTTATATCTAACTTGAATATATCACTTGTTCTCAAAATGATACTGAGTTTATTTTCCAACTTTCTAGTGTTTAGTAACTTCTGATGGTGAAAAGGCACAATGAATATGCCTTCCATGTCTTGTTCTAAATCCTGAAGAATTTTTGTGATGAGTGGTTTCTGAGTATTACTGACAACCAATCATAAGCCAATCTGGAAAGAGCAGCTTTTAAATGGCATGCCAGTGTCTGCTCTTCACTCTTGGATATAAATATAATAAACCTCTTATAATTTAGGAGTTAAAACTAGCCAGTTGGATTTATAGACAGTTTTCTATGAGATGCAAACCTACAAGTCTACAAATTGAGATCTGATAATTCTATTTTGAACCTGGGTTTGATGTTACAAGTTAGACTAGTGGTGTATTATTAAATATAGTATGATAGCTCTTACATTCCATGATCTTCATGTTCATGTATTACCCTTTTTCCTTCATTCTTCCTACATCCTAAAAATCTTCCATTAATATGAAAAATATCTCCCCTTTCAATATAAAGATGCATTACACTCTGTGTTTATGAAATATGAAAATTTACTTCACAATGCAGTAAGAAATCATCTGTTTTCTTTGCACCCAGAAATGGGTTTTCAATATCCAGTTAAGATTAGACAAAATTTCAAGGAATGAGTGAACAAGCTTCAGAATTCTAGAGAGACCATCCTTGCTACATTAAATTTCCCTCTAAGATATACAAATATCAGTAGAAACATTCTTCTTCATCAAGCAGGCTTTGCTTCTACAGGTCTGGCTATTTGGGGATGAAACAGGCAGGATTTTTTAAAAGGCAGGAAAGCTCAGACATTTTACACTCAGTGCCAGCTGATTTACGTAAATTCTTCCTATGATATAAGATTTATCAGCTAGACCCCCCTCATGACTTATTTTAATAAAAATCCTTTTTCAAAGGACAAATCTCGATTAATGACCATTGACAATGAAGCACTAAGTGTACTGACAGTTCCACATGTTTCCTGCCCTAATCTCATTTAACACATTAAGAGTATTTTTTCATCTAATTGAATTAAGTACATAAAACCCCGATACTGTTTAAAAGACTGTAAAAAGCTGCGTCAGGACTGCAATTCTATTTGAACTCCATACAGTGTAACAACATCTATTAAAGCAGAATAGCAGAGATGAGTAAGAAGTCAGAGGTTACCAGCTTCTGTAATGCAATGATTGAAAGTTTATCTTTTACCTGTGATTACACTCTACAGGACAAAGATTTTTCCAGTGCTAGTGTTTATTTATATTATCTCACTGTAAACATTACGAGAGTGATACCCAACTGGCAAGGCCCACACTACATCATGATACAATTTCTAATCTATTCTTATAGAAAGCTGTGATCCTGAGGTACTGTGCTACTGGGTGCTGATAAAAAGCTATTGTGGAACTACTGCAGCTACTTTGTGCCTTTGGTAAGTGCTAATCCATTGGTTTTGTAGTGAGAAGTAGAAAGGGGCTTGCATGCTGAACGACGGCCTTCCTCAATTTTGAATATACAAATTTGCATTCACCTACAACAGGAACTACAGATTTTTTCATTTAAAAAAATCAATAACATGACTCTCTGCATATCTATATATCTATATATCTATATATATATATATATATATATAAATAATTTTCAGCTGCACCAGTCATTTCTCACAGCTACAGAAGGAACATTTGATGCAGTGCATAGGGGACTGGAAGGGAGTGGATGCTTACTTTCAGTACACCCATCTTTCCTATTAAATTGCAACCAAATGGGTCCTTTTTAGGTACATCACGTGGTTGCTATGATATAAAGGTAAATTACAGAGTAACTGAAGCTCGAGGGCTCTTTAAACAATGCAGGCATTAGGCTTAAGAGTGTTTTTAATTCACTGAATTTTTGAACTTCAAACACTTGCACAGAAAGAAGAACATGGTTACTGCATCTGGACTATGTACTTTTGAAGATTTGATGATTCTGTGATTCTAAGATTAACCATCCATATGTGACTAATTTTGCATTAACTTTTTTAATAGTTAGATTATCAATTATGAATTGTACACAGCAATGCCATGAATTTTTCTGAAATATCTGAAAATCCTCAAGTAAATGTGTCAACAGAGTCAAATACATTTTATATCTTTACATCATTTATTTCATAAGTACTTCTGTTCAATTCTGCTCTTAACCCTATACAGTTTTTAAACCAATTGAAACTGTGCATCTCTTCATAAATAGTAAGTCACACAAAGGAAAATCACCAAAATTACTGGTCAATGATCATTGTTCTTTTCTACTGTAGTTCCTATTCTTAGAGATACGCATTTCATTGTAGTACCTATTTTGGCCAGTTACCACTGTTCCACAACTCAGCAGCTGACAAGGAAAGACAGCACTTTTAGAACTGAGTCCTTTTTGTTAGTGCCAGTAGAATTCAACCAGGATGCCAGAACCAGCCCACTCAGAATTACTGCTGGACTGAAGCCTTGATGAATGACTTCATGTAATGGAGTATGAACTCTCATCTCCACAATCCACTAATGAACCTTCTGTTGTCACTGTATTTGTATGTTAAGTAAAACTTGTTCATCATAAAACACAGTTCTGTCAAAATTATGTAATTTTCAAAATTTCTACAGAGATAGCTTCATTTTGTCTCTTTTTTCCTGTGTGGAACTGTCCTGTCCAGAGATATTTAGCCTCACTGGTACTGTCCCGTACTGAAAAAAAATATTCAAAATTATTATTTGAAGTTTCTTTCTTTTAGATTTAAGAAAAAAGGTGTTATTTTTAGGCTAGCTTGAAGCAAAACAAAATTACAACTTTATATGGAAGGGGTAAAGTGATAATGATACAATAATATCCTCCTTTATCTTAGGAGCCTGATATGGGGAAAAGTGCTATTGGAGAAAAATGCAGAAAGGTCCCTGTCAACAAAATTGTTAAATTGGGAAAACCCCAATTATTCTGCAAATTCCAAGACTGCAAATACCAGAAGTAACAGTTTCCAAATACTGGACACACTGAAAAGGAGAACAAACTTACTTAGGTACTGAGGCAGATGGCACACACATTTTAGGAGGTCGCTAGATAGTTCTAAGAATTAGACAATAAAATGGATGAAAGTATGAATTTGAGACACTTGAGTTTAAGTCACTTTATTTTTAATGAAGTAATATTGCAAGGCTAAAATCAAATTAACAGAAGCAGTGAAATCTTCTATTCTGTAGAGCACAAATCAAAGAAACACACTGTCTTTGTAACCACTGTACAAAATTCGTTATGCAGATAAGGTGTATTACTGCATCCCAGTTTTAGTAAGGGGTACTTTATCAAAGGGGAAAGGGATAGGAGTGGTTGACAGGGCCTTCCATTACAAAGAAGCAAGAAACAGGATTTTAGCAAGATTGAAATTACCTTTAGATTTTGGGTTTAGAAAATCACAACTACTACCACCAAGTCTAAGTTCCTGGCAGTAGCCAGTAGTTTTAAGAATCCATGACCAGCTTAACACCACAGAAGTGAGTTGTAAGATGCTTCCGATTCCTCCCTCATCTAAGTTTTGACTTTCATTTACATAATTTTTATGTTTCCTTCTTACTTTGAAAGAGCAGCAAACAACTTTTTGCACAGGGACAAAAGACAATGCTGGAAACTGGCCCTCTCTAGTCTTGCTTGTGTGCAAGCAACACAGTCTTTTTGTGGCATTGCAACTACCATCTCAGATTCTTACTGCATGCCAGCTCGTGTTCTTCCTTGGCTGAGAAATAGACACATCTCCTCATCCCTTAGCTTGTAGGCCAGCTGAATACAGCTCATACAAGTCATGGCCTTGTGCCCAACCTGTTAATCTGCACTGCTTAGTAACCTATCACCTATTACCTATCACCTTTGTCAAGGGGAGGAGATGGATGTTTATTTATCACTTGGATAGGTCTGCACTTACACAAAGATCTAAGATAACCAAGAGGGAACTTGGTCATTTATATACCTCACAAGAATGAAGTAGACTTTCAACAGAAGTATATCTTTGTCCTGCTGATCTGCCTACATTATACAGTCTTTGGTTTACACAGAAGCAAAAAATATTGTGATCTGAATGTGCTGACATGTAGAAACAGAACTCTGACCTCCAGCTCTCTCATCCTACGCACTGAGCAGAACAGGACTTAATCCAGCCTGCAAAGGACATAATTCTCAAGCAAGACGGATGTTCTATTCCTACATCTTGAACAAGTAAAATCAAAAGCTAATGTTACATGAGGATGCAAAAACCAAATCAAATCTCATATGAGAATTAGCTTCAAAGGTCAGAGATGTGCTAGCCTGAACTCAGCACAATTTTTGGATCAGCACTAGTTAATTAATAATCTTATGAATTATTTAAACTCAAATCCTCAGCTAGTGCTACATATATATCCAGCTTTACAAATTGATACAAGTGACAATACACTACCAAACAGCAAGCTCAAGATTCCAAAACTACACATTCTTACCTTGGGGAATATTTAGCTAATAATTATCCTTTATGCAAATAGAGAAATGTCTGGCTGAAGACTTCCATTCATTCCAACGTGCAAAAACAGAGCTGGTACATTCCTGTCTAAAAGCTATCCAGGTAAGAGATTTGTCTCCCTTCCTGTGCCTCTGAATTCAGGTTAATTTGTTCTTTGCCTGTTTTCAAAGGTGCAAAATTGCCTCTTTTCACTTATTTGCTCATGCTATTGTTTTTTGGTTTATCATTATATTGTTGTTCGTAAGTATTGCTTATAAGGTAGACACTGAGCAAAAGTCTGTAAAACATATAGTCAGCTGTAAATGGTATAGCAATTATCTTTCCTGAAACTCTCAACCAGGAGTTCAACCATTTGGTTAGTTTTTAGTTCGATTTAAGAAAATGGCATATACTAGGCTTATCTGTTTCTTAAAGTACTACATTGATATTGAAACTGAGAGCACTTTCTTAGGGCTTAAGTACAGTCTTTCCCAAGAAAAGAGTGTTTCCAAAATACTATCTTTATTGCATGTAGTAAACACAAGATGTCACAGAAAACAACAGGAAAAACCGTGAGAATGGACTATCAATTTGGTTTTATCTGTGAGAGCTTAGTATGGCTAAACAATGCCCAGCAAAATCACAGGGCAGAAAACAGAGCTTAGTATTCAACTTTATGAATGATGACCAGGGTCCTGAAAAGCTATCTTGAAAGACTTTTTATTTAAATAACAGACTTTCACTTTGAAACAGCTACTTTCCCAAAAACAAGGAATCAGATTTTCAGTAATGTTTTTTGAATCCACAGGAAATGCCTTTTTAGTGGTCATGTCCTAGGACTCTCCAGAAGAATAATGCTGTGTTGCCTTCAAGAGCATGTCAATAGTTAAATCAGCATGTTCTGGAATCCTTGAACAAAATCTGTCTCTGCAGAACGAGTTAAACTACTTGATCTGTATTTGCATGTATGATCATTCCCAAAGATGATCTTGATGGGATAGCCTTAAGAACAGGTGCTGGCTGACTGTATGAGTTCTACTGCTCCAGCCCACTTATCAGTTCTAGGATTGTTACCTGTCAGTGGCTGTCAACTTACTCACTCGAATATGGAACTGAGAATCCTTGGGAAAACAAGACTTGAATCACAGCTGCTGGTGAATGCAGGCATTCAATAAAGAGATAACTTGCCTGGAAAATCCTAAACCAATTTACAGTTGGAAATAAAAATTGTGAACTGGAGATTTTAATTTGAAATACACAAATCTAAAAGACTCTCAGAATAAAACTCTCCTTAGTATAGCAGTTTCATTTGTAGAGGACATGATCTGGCTTTCCTGTCTTGTAGAAACCACTAAGCTGGAATCCTATTTCCTCTTTCACATTTGATTTACTATAACACTGAAACTCAACATAAAAATGCTTTGAAGCAACAATATTTTATCCCAACATAGTGAAAAAACTAACCAAGCCTATCAAGTTTCACATGATTTTCCTAAAAGGCATTGCCATGTTCTGTGCCTGTAGTCTGACAGCTTGCTAGGTCAGTGTATAAAAAAATGGTTTTGGTTGCTGGCGCCTTGCTTACCTCTGCTTCCAAGTATATCTTAGTTCTAAAGACAAAAATACAATAGCTATTGCAAGATAGAAAGAAATACTCATCTCACTTGTTCTGTTTTAGCACCTCATGACTTCTAAAGCTTTCAGGTTATGCTGACATATCTAAGCAACCCTGCAAACAAAAGCAGATTAATAAATCAAAGCAGTAGGTGCTAAAGCAGTATTGCCTTATAGTACATGCAGCTCAGGGTACTTAATTTCAGTCTAGTCAGTTCTCACAAACTAAATGTACTCCCCACATCTGTTCAAATATGTCCAAACCACCAATTGCTGGCTTAGGTTTTTATGCCACCATAAAGGGTCAAAGAGCACCGGGGCATAGTTTCTAGGTACCTTCCTCTGAAAAAAACCCCAATTTGCAAGAATAACACACCCCTGTACATTGAATCTGTGCACTGTGAGACTAACCACGGAGCTTTTTCAAAATTGTGTCATTGCTCAAAACGAGAACAGTAATGTAATCATAGCCATTAGAGCCAAGAAACGTTTCTATGAGACAGAAAAGGTTTCTGATATGAACGATGAGCAATTTGAACAATTTAATTTGTTTCAACATCTGTGTTTCCAATCAAATGTTTAACGAGACTGATGTCTCTGATGTTTTTTAGTGAGTTATGCAACAAATAAATTCAAAATCCATACTAACCATATTAGTTTTTAGTGAATTTTTCATAGTTCTAATGTGAAGAAAACAGCAAACATCACTTGGCTCAAACTCTTTAAATGGCTCTATCCTAACTTACACTTGAAATCACTATTTCAGCAAGAAAGCAATTTTGCTACAAAGCTGTGATACCATCTTACTTCTGCTTTAAATAAAGCATTTAAAATATCTCAGCAGAGGGAGACAGGCTCACCCTTGCTACTTCTTCTGGGCTTTTTAGAGATACAGCTTCAGACTTTTTGGTGGACAGTCAGGATGGGGAGGCAAAAGGATGCAAAAGAATAAAGATTTTGGGGGTTGTGCTGTTTCACAAAGAACAATTCATTCATTCAGAATGGTGATACAGGCAGTAGCAGCAACAATCTGCTGCTGAAGAATCTGCAAAGAGAAATTACACATGAACATACTGTGATTAGTGTTTCTTCCCCTAAAGAGACGTTTTGTCAGGTCACAGGCATGATGGAAAGATAGGAAGAAAGGTGGGACTAAGGCAAGTTGGAAACTCAGCAGTTCGTTTGGCTTGAATGGCTCCTTCCCTTGTTTCTCTTTTTCACAAAATAAAATGAGTCAGTGCATTTAACCTGAAAGAATAAATGGTTCAGACAAGGTTCTGCTGAATTATGTTTGCTTATATGGTCAAGGGAAACTTGAAAAAATTTCACTGTGAAGATTCAAAACATAAAAGTACAAGTAAAATAACCAGAACTACTTTCTGTTGTAATTATGTGAATGTTACACATGTACATGAATGTGCACAAAACTTTCACTTGTTTTAAACAGTTGTTCCAATACTTAAGTCAAATGCAACAAACTAACATGTTTTATGCTACGTGCTGCTTCATCTGTGCAGCCCTGTTAAGAACAGCTCTATCAGCAAATGATGACTTGAACAAAATGCAAACATTATGCTCTGTGGAGCTCTGGAGGAAGAAAGGGAGGAACAGTGGGTTTCCATTTGTTAGTGTAGCCTAAGCTGTAAATGGGTCATTTGGTGAACTAGTAACCTGACCCCGCTAGGGCTCCTGCATTCTGCTAAAGTATTACCACTTTGGAAGGATGGTGTTGTCTCTCAGTGCCAGAAGCAGAAGGCTGGAGTCTGCTCATGTGCACAACAGCAGACAGATCTCCTCTCCTCCATTCTGTCTTTGGAGATAGCAAGAACCCTGGAAGCTCCAAGCTCTGTTAGGCTGTGTAAGGGGATAGCACACATCTGGGGTGGAATCCCATTTCCTTCAGGTGAAGCAATGAATTACAGGCGTCACAGCCTGGCAATTATTGGGTTACACAGCTGAAAAATGGGTTGTTGATAACAATGCCCCTTCCCTTATTTGGTGTGGCTTTATGGCATTCTAAAAGCAACAAGGAAACTTTAAATATTAACAGCGTCTGCATACCAATCTAGGTTGAGAGCTGACTGCTTAATAGCTACCATGTTCATTTGACATGGAATTTGAAAGCATATATAGCAGAATAAACAGTAACTTACATGAAGGAAATCCTTATGCTCAGGAAAAAAAAAAAAAAACTGAAGAAAATTGCTTCCTGTCAGTTTGAACACAGAAGAGACATACTTTACTGTACTATCTTTTTTGGGAGGAGTGGGGGGAGGCAGGGAGGCTTAGTTGTTTTTTACAAAAAGCTATTATTTTGATTATCCAGTAAGCCAGTATAGGTAGTATATATATTACTAAACTATTATTCAAACACAAGATCTCTTAATAGATTTCCAAAGAAATTATGCTCCAATCATCTTATGTATTAAAAATCACTACTATCCCTCAGGGAGTTGCACAAACAACACACACATCTGAATTGTAATGGGTTTTTTTTGGTAAATGGCAAATTATTTCCAGGTAAATTGTATGAGATCTGAGAACAGCAACTATGCTATTAAATATATGAGCCTAGTGTACAGAAGCTGATGCAATCTCTTCGATGTAGCCTATAAAAATCACTCATTGGATATTGCACTGCCCACTAGCTTTTAAGTATGCAGAGCAAGGGCACAATATTTATTTCCTGGCTGGCTGAATTCACTTGGCTGTAAGAAGTGAGTGGCATTTGAATAAAGACTTGCTGTCCTCATGCACAATTCTCTCACTCTCCAAACTAATTTAGGTAAGACAGGAAGTATTGGGATTTTGCCTTTTAAAAATGAGTGTCTTTATTAAACTTGCTAGCATTCTGTATTTGGTAAACTTCATTCATATGCTCTTAAGTACTTCACCTGGTGCTGTAACTTCATTTATCTTTTCTGTCACCTTTGCATTCTAACAAAGACTAGATCCAATCTATTTTCCTGTCCAAGCAGATCTTGATTAGCATAACTATGCAGTTTATTAGGGTCTAAAGCAAACTTAGCACTGATAAAAAAAACAGACATGGATCTTTATAAATAATAACATTAAATTGCAATTAGTGTTCCCTTTTGATGGAAATAAACCTTACTTACACACACAAAGAAATGTATATAATGGGAGCTAAAAATGGGTTTATGTAATTGGGATGGATAAAAATCTACTGATTTTTTAAAATATATTTAGACTACTATGCAGGTCCTTTTCAACTTGGACAATCAGTCCACACAATTCTCACAAGAATCTCTGCTCTGCCTTTTACCACATTACAAATTACCTATAACACTTGAAAATGCTGCTTTGAATTGTGGTTAAACTTTGAATAGCCTTTGAAATCATGCTGTATCACTTATCTGTATGCTGTATCATAATACCTGGGAACTTGTTTTAAAGTTCTGCACTAGTTACAGATACACATCTTCTTATTTTCAATCTGGTGGCAAAACACAATTATTAAAATCTTGAAAACTCTTTCTAAGCAGGATAGACAAAACACTTTCTAGTAAGCCACTCTCTATTTGGACTGCTCCAGGTCAAAAGCTTACAGGCCATTGATAATCTGTTCTTTTGCTTTTAAATTATGTTTCCAGGTTGGATTCATTAATGCTTTTTTTAAATTCAGAATTTTACACCTTAACAGGCTGTGACCAAACATTAATAAATCAAAACGTTCTTCTTAACAACAAAAAAATCCTATGAAATTTACAGAGAATTCTGTCAGTAGCACCTAAACTGTGTATTAACTGCTAAAACCAATAAAATTTACCAACAGAATACTGTGCCAGTAAGTTTAACTTCAAGTTTTATGAAACTGATGGGTACAGAGTCTGCCTCTAAACAGTGAAAGAGGAAAGAAATAGCTTTTAAGTGAAGACAGGCTTTGACACTATTGCAGTGCCACTCCTGGCACCAAACAGCTCTGATGCAGAGATCCTGGCTGTTAATGTCGAATTTGGTGAAAACAGTTGTGTCCATTGAGGCAAGAGACATCAAAAGCATCCCCATCAGAGGAATACAAATAATCTCAGCCATCAGATATTAGAAAACAATTAGGAGAACCATAGGAAACACTGCTGTGTTTGTTCTGCTGTACATATAATTATTTGTTATAGCTCATTATTGGGATAACAAAGTTGGGTAACTGTGGGTTTAAACCTGAAAATAATAGCATGTAGCACTCTTCCAATGTGGTAATGTCATGGTGCTCGGTCCGTATGTTGCCAATATGGTGGTATTTGTGAGTAGATATTTATTACCAGAAGCTGCATATCAAAACAATCCAGAATCTACAAACAAGTTCATGTTACATAGCAGGTACAAAGAGTCCATCAATGGTTTATGTACATATCTTTTATGTATGACGAAACTGCTGCTCTCCAGAAAACTCTGCTTTACAGGTCCTACCAGAAACATTTTTCTCCTCTGCACTGATGACAACTGCAGTGACAGATCATTATACCCCATGAGAGTTATTAATCAATGACTACAAGACGTACTTGCTATACAAAAACATTACAGCCTACCTCACTAGTGCATGTTTATTGCACACCATCAAGTGCTGCCTCTGGTCAAAAAGACCTTTATGACAGAACATTTAGAATAGATGACAGAAATCTTTGTCATACAAAAATGACCAATTTAACCCCATTTTTGTTTATTAGAACAAACTGGATTCAATCGAAAGTACTCCTTAATGTGTGCAAGAAAGGGCAGATTAAGTTTTTAGCCTTATGCATCACTGGAGCCCTGTGAGAGTGTTTTGTTGGGATGATGCTTCCTTAGGAGCAAAATCAGATGATAAATTTTTAGAGTTAAGGAACTGTGCTAAAAAAAACCTTCACGAATTGCAGCCTGATGGAGATTTTCTTCACTTTGCAGGAACACATAAATGAAGTAAACACTGGGAAAATGGAAAGACCACTTGAGGCTACCAGAATGGAAGACAACACTTCACCCTGCTTTCTCATGGAAAGAAAGACTCATGTCAAGACTAACCGGAAAGAAGTCATGCTAGCTAAGCTGAGAAAGAGTTGCACCTGCACGCCACAGAAGCTGAAGAACTTTCTTATGGACTTCTTTCCCGTTTTACGGTGGCTTCCCAAGTACCGATGCAAAGAGTACATTTGGGGGGATGTTATGTCTGGGTTAGTGATTGGGATCATTTTGGTGCCTCAAGCAATTGCATATTCACTGCTGGCAGGTCTGAAGCCCATTTATAGCCTTTACACATCATTCTTTGCCAACATCATCTATTTCTTAATGGGCACATCCCGACATGTCTCAGTTGGCATTTTCAGCTTGATAAGCTTAATGGTGGGACAAGTTGTGGACCGAGAACTTCTCTTGGCTGGATTTGACTTGAATGATGATGCCTCACCAGCCTCGGGTGATGGCTCACTGCAGAATGACAATCTGTCCAACACAACTGCCTTCAACCTTACCATTGTGGGGATAAATGCCGAGTGTGGGAAAGAGTGCTACGCTATTGGCATTGCTACAGCCTTGACATTCATGGCTGGAGTGTATCAGGTAAGTGGTTGCTGACATCCAGAGGCAAGGTATGAAGCTCCTAAAGCTTTTTTGCATGACCTAAGCTTTGACTGTCTTTCAATGAGATACATCATCAGTTAATTTGAATGTACCTTGGACATATTTTCTCCAGGAAGCCTAACTGTAGGCAACTCAGAGACACCATAAGGCATGCAGTTTTCTTGGCTGCTAGCAAACACAGGTAAAACAAGAGTCTTCAAAAAAACCATTAACATTGTTCTGATATTCTTCTGCTTCTTGGCCTTGCTCCTTTCATGGGACAATGAGGTCCAATACAGATGTAGGAAATTCCCATGCAGCTTTGACCTTAACAATGAAGAAACATCTCTCTTTCCCTTAATATTTTAATAGGGGTACCTACTCAACTACTTCTACATGTTCAGAATATGCAGTTCAGTATTTTGATAGGGGGTGCTAACTGCTGTCCTAAAGATAATTTGAAGAACGGACGAGAAATAGACTGACTAACCTACTTTTCAGAAAATGGCTGTGCTTGACACTTATCAACATGCTGCCATCACAAGGATATCAAGAGAGCACAGAAGGAAGCATCATGAACATACTTATCTGTTAACTCTGTGTGTATATATGTGTATGAGTGTGTGTGTGTGTGTGTGTGTGTGTGTGTGTGTGTATGTATATATGTATGAATGCAGAAAGAGCTAGCTATCTCCCTGCTGTAGTAAGAAATTTCAGGTTACATATATGAACAAAAAATCCCCTTGTGAAGCTGGGTTCTTCAAAGCCGCCTAAGGAAGGAGAATCAACTAGTTAAGGAAAGAATTGTGGACTCTGTGGGCTGTTCTGCCATTTCTGATCTTACGCATGCCACAAAGGCCATCTGTGCTCCATTCTTCCCTCTGTCCACAGGGCTAAAATTAAAAGTTCTTTAATACAAAAGCTAAAGTAGGAATCTTATTTGTTGTCACTTAAGTTTTGTTTACACAGAATAGGCCATACATTTTAACTTTATTCACTTTAAGACAGAAAAAAATGAAAATTGACTTTGGTATAAAAGAAGTATTTTGGACCCACTCTTCTTTTGCATGTGGAATAAAAATCAGGCAAGCCAATTCAGTGAGTCACTTCAGACATATGTTCCATTGACCACCCTGTCTCAAACTCCTCATTCACCTCTTGGGTTTGTAGCGTTCCACAACAGCAAAAGGAATCACGTTTTAAAACAGACTGGAAACAAAAAATTATAATTCCTGTTTCAAGAAGCAGCCATTAGCCAATACTGGCTTTCAGCTAGTTCTCCCCCATCTGAACCTAATTATTTGCAGTAATGGTTACAGCTCATGGTTTGTTTTATTTTTCCTCTTCTGTTTCCTCAGGTTCTAATGGGGATCTTCCGTCTGGGTTTCGTATCTATGTACCTATCTGAGTCCGTACTAGATGGCTTTGCAACTGGTGCTTCCTTAACCATTTTAACAGCTCAAGTGAAGTATCTGATTGGAATAAAAATTCCACGTAGCCAAGGGCATGGGATGCTTGTTATTACCTGGATTAACATTTTCCGGAACATTTCTCAGGCTAACCTTTGTGATGTCATCACAAGTGCCATTTGTATTGTAGTGCTGGTCACTGCTAAGGAACTCGGAGATCGGTATAAGCATAAACTGAAATTTCCTCTTCCCACAGAGCTGGTAGTTATTGTTGTGGCAACATTAGTGTCACACTATGGTAAGCTAAATGAAGTGTATGCATCCAGTGTTTCTGGAGCTATTCCAACAGGATTTATCCCTCCAAAGGTACCAGAGTTCAACTTAATGCTCCGAGTTGCTCTAGATGCTTTGCCTCTTGCCATAGTCAGTTTTGTCTTCACTGTATCCCTTTCTGAAATGTTTGCAAAGAAATATGCTTACACCATCCGAGCCAATCAGGAAATGTTTGCTGTGGGGTTCTGCAACATCATTCCTTCTTTCTTCCACTCTTTTGCAACCAGTGCAGCTCTGGCAAAAACACTCGTCAAAACATCTACAGGCTGCCAGACTCAAATCTCTGGAGTAATTAGTGCAATGGTGGTTTTGTTGGTGCTGCTCTTCCTGGCACCTCTCTTCTACTCCTTGCAGAAGTGTGTCCTGGCTTGTATTATCATTGTCAGCCTTCGGGGAGCCCTGAGGAAGTTCCGAGATGTGCCAGCACGGTACCATGTGAATAAGGTGGACACACTTGTTTGGGTAGTTACCATGTCTGCCTCTGCCTTGGTCAGCACAGAAATAGGGCTGTTGGTTGGCATTGTTTTCTCCATGCTATGCATCATTGTTCGGACCCAGCGGCCACGGACAGCCCTGCTTGCTCAGATCCAAGACACAAGCTTTTATGAGGATGATTTAGAATATGAAAATCTCTCTACTGTTCCAAAGGTCAAAATATTTCGGTTTGAGGCCCCACTTTACTATGCAAATAGAAATTACTTCCTGAAGTCTCTATACAGATTGACCAATTTAGATCCTAACCTAGAAGCTGCTATGAGGAAGAAATATGAGAAGAAAGAAAAGCAGCATCTGAAAAAGGGAAATCACGGAACTCCTAATGGACTGGGCATTGGAGAAACCACTTTGCAACTAGTTCCTAAGCAAATTGAGTTCCAAGCCCTTGTTGTAGATTGCTCTTCCATCTCATTTTTGGACACCACTGGAGTTAATACTTTAAAGGAAATCCTGAAAGACTACAAGAATTTAAACATTTCTGTTCTCTTGGCTTGCTGCAATCCCTCAGTGATAGACTCTCTGAAAAGGGGAGGTTACTTTGGAAAGGATTTTGGATGTATGCAGGAAATGCTATTCTACAGTATACATAATGCTGTGCTGTTTGCAAAAGACCAAAAGCTTCCAGCAGATTGTTCAGTTTAACCCTGTGTCTTCTGGGATGATTCACTACAAAGAGACAGATGGAGAGGGGTAGTTTGCAACAAGTAACTTATCAGATACACTGTTGGCTTTGTAAAGCCATTCCCCACAAAGTGTTCCACTTTATATCATATGCCATGAAGAGCAGCCACTGGGGAGGCAGCCCAGGACAAGCATGGAAAGGTTAGACTCCCACCTTCACTTTAAAATGCAGGCAAAGGCAGTTTGGATTAACTTGTCCATGATACCATGATCAGTTGTGACCCAGCATGGATGTCAGGGAATTGTTGTGGTGGAAGGCCTGCTCTCCCAGTTGCTCTCCCAGTGATTTAATGGCTGGTTTGTATTAAGAAGGCTAAGCCACTCCCATGAAAATGCAATCAATATGGCATTCTGGACACATAATGGTTTAAACTGTGACTTGCAAGGCCCTGCCCCTTCCAATCATTCTAGGTGTACACCTAAACAAGTCCCCACTGTTAGCATAAAAATAAAATGTATAAAATATTGTGGAATGTAGAATATCTCTCCTCCTTGATCACACAAGCCTAACAGCATAACCTGCCACAGGAGAAGAAAACATGATCCATTTCAGGTTCCTCTCAAAATTACCATTTCCAAAAATTTCTGGCTTTGGAGTCACAGGACTCATCTGTTCTACTGGATTAAATCTGTCGTAATTAGTTACTGTAATACCCCTAATTATGCTGGAATAAATATGACTCTGATGCACAACTTTTTAACTAGTAAAAGGATAAACAGGATTAAGAAAAATGAATGGCTTCAACTGGCAGCTACCTAGCTAGTTGTACCACCCTGTAAAATAAGTTGCTTCTGGTGGGCAGATGCAACTCTAATTCAGGGATACATAAGGACCATCAAACATAAAACCTCAGAGCTGTGTTGCAGCACATCACTATCTTCCTACAAATGCCTGCCTGGGTTCAAAGAAAAACAAAAGAAAATAAGGGTAGGGTGGGAAGGTAAATCTGTGAGTTTTCTTGAAGGGGATTGATGGATCAGTCAGAACTGCCTGGCTGGTCTTCTCTGATGCAATGCTAATAAAGTATTACAAGTAACATACATGGGTCAAGTAAATGAAGCAATGCTTTGTAACTTGTGTATCCCTCTATGTTGAAAAACTTTCACCACTGATTGTACATACTACAGATGTTGTGTGGATTTTGTTTGTTTGGTATATTTTTCCTATCATATTAATCTTTGATTTGAGGTCTACTAGACTGTATTTTCTGGGACTGGTTACTTTCTATAATAATTTGCATTAACTGCTGTTCATTATGCTTTATGTCATCAATTGTATTGCTGTATATGCATATCTCTCTTCAAAAATAAGAATATACTTGGGTTTTGATTGTAATGCAGTATTCACTGTTCTGGCCCATGGCATAGGCAGAATGTTCCATTTCATACTCGAGTTCATAATTACCTGCACAGAAGGTAAGACAGCTGTGCTCACTCTCTCTCCTTTTTCACGTCAGGTTCAGACATCACCAAGCACGGAAGGAAATTCTATCACAGCTGTATCTCACAACTAGCAGACTCTAGAAACATGTTCCATATATGTAGAAGCCATTTCTTGTCCCATTTAAAAAAAAAAAAGAAGTGAAGTCAACACATCATATGACTTGCTCATTTCAACTTTTTAGGTCACTGAGTAAAAGAATAAACAAACTGAGGTTCTCCAAGTGTCCCAGAGCCTGTCTGGCTCTCAGAAACAAGTATTTTCTTAGAGGAAAAGCAGTGCACTTCTAAAAGACAAAAAGTATCTTCACGGGGACTAGGACTAGCACAGTATTTAGGTTATTCAAGGCTGATGCCTCATGCTCTCATTACAAAAGAAGCCTATCAGCTGCACACTGTTAGTAATGCTAAAGCAGCAAAACCTGACAGAAACATCTGACATGAGATTAAAGGATTGATCATTAGCAGTATTTTCGTGTCATAAAACAATCCACATTACTATTTAAATTGCTGAATTGGTATGATTAGCTTCTTTCAGTTGTAAAAGGAAGTGAGCGGGGCCCAAGGACAAAAACTGCTTTGTATCTGCTTTTGTAACCATTCCTTGATCAGGTAATACCTCTTTTAAGGTCCTGTTTGGGCCAGCAAGGCAAGTGGGTTTAGAAGGGTTACTACCAGACAGTGTTCAATATAGACAGTCTTAGGCCACTGTGCTAAAGCAAGCTGTCATTGGAAGTAAAACAAAACACCCTACCAATCTACGCTTTTTTTTTAGCTTTATGGATCCAGCTACCAACATAGAACACAAAGAAAAAACATGGAAATGGAAAGATACCCTTAACTCCAGATTAATCTCATTTTAAAAGACAAAAAAGAAAAAAAAAAAAAAGAAATTCCAATGGAAGGTGTATCCTTGCAAGAGTCTCTGGAGAATAATGAAGAGAATAAGGATACCTAAGTAAAGAAACCTAACTACACATAAGACAGAAGGTAAACTTTAGAACTTACGCTATGAAGAAAGAAACTATTGGTCAGAAGAAACTGTAAGAACAGTTTCGTGCTTTGGTTTTATTGGCAGAGCTGGTTCACCATCTACTGCATTGGACATTGTCAAACAAAGCATGGAAACAGCTTCAGCGCTATGATGTAGGGATGTTGGCAGACTGAATTATTTCTAAGGAGTATGTAAAATGTAACTAAAAAAGCAAGCCTTTTTCTGGTACCTCTATGTTTGCTATACTGAGTTATACTAAGATTAAAGATACAAAGATTGAAAATTAACAAAAACTGCTGATTCTCTTCTCTCCTAATCTATCAGAAATTAGCTATCGTGTCTTGGAAAGGAGCTGGGGATAGGCTTGTAATTCCAACTAGGTTAATACTAATATTGGAGTAAAAACCATTATATGCCTTTTAGGAAATGTTAAATGCTTCATGTAGGTTGACTGTTTTTGTTCACTGTGATGCCTTGTGATTTACCATATATCATATATCCAACAGATCTTAGTACTGCTACGTAAGAGTGGGAAAGGATTCTTAACTTGTGGACTGTGTGTGTCCCTTGGAACTTGGCAAAGAGCCAGAGTTTTCAGCTCAATGTGTCCTGTCTTGTTGACTAGTGAAGCATGGCCAGAACGTGTGGTCGAAGTGTCAAAATAGCTCTATTTACTGGGAACTGTCCAGTCTATGAATGACACCCTGGATTTCCCCACAATCATGAATATTCCTGTGTCACAAGACCAAGACCAAGAGACAAATGTGCGCTATTGGCTGGAAAATAAAACGAGGAGTTCTTTGGAAACAGTTTGCCTTATGGTGTCCTTTCACAGGTGGCAAAATAATGGGCTGACTCTGAATAAAGACAAAGATGAAGAGGGACACTTTCTTACTAGGAAATGTTAAAATAAAGGGATGCACTTGATATTGGGGGATTAGAAAACAATGAGAAAGACCATGACAGCAATAAGACGGGGAAGGTGGCAGTCTTTTATTTGAGCATATCTACTTCTTGGCAGAAACATTTGTGTCACCTTTTTAACAGATGGCAGCAACTATGAAGAAAAGCAAAGCCTCTGTTAGATTTTCACAGAGGTCCTCTGTTTTTTCTAAGTTCTATTCCTCAGTCAAGTGCCCATCTCCACATTCCAAGGATTGTTCTCTACTCATCAACCCCATGATCTAATACAGTACTGCAATCAGATGGTTGCACTCAAAGCCTCTTTACATCCTTTTGGAAATCACTGGTTCAGAAAGAGATTTATACATACACAAAATTAAGCATCAGCACTGAACTCTGCTCAGACTTGCATTCCTGCTCCTATTGTTTTTTTCAGTCCCAGTGTTTGTCTGCAGGCTCCATGCTCCTTCCCCTTTCAAAACTGCCAACACTTAGCGCACTGATTGCTCTCCCACAACTTAAATGTCTTCTTCTCCTTGACAAATGCACATTTTTTTTGCAAAATGAGACATTTTAGCTCAGTTGTAAACAGCACCAGTTTCTAATTTTTACATATCAAAGATGGGCTAAAGATTGAGACTAGTAGTTTAGCATCCTACCTTTAAAACACTACAGCTTTTTTGGGGACTTCTTCATTGGTTGCTATATTTACACAGTCCTAGGATTTTGATCATATCAAGGATTGTATCCCACTTTTTTTAAAAGACTCAGTGGCTCAGTGTCCACAAAGGCTGAGCAGAATCCATAACAGATGCATTCCTCTCCCTCAGTCATGTGTAAAGCCCAATTCAACACAATGGCACAGCTAAGACAGGCTGCCAGAGGGGATTCTGGGCTCCAAGTGTAGGTGTGGCTGCTTTCTTTCCAAAGGTACTTACTGATTTTTCCTAAGTGAGTTGGTTACAGAAATCTGGAAGACTCAATACATCTCCCAGGAGAAATCTCTAAGACAGGGACTCCGGAAGTGGTGACCAGTGACAGTTGTCCCTGACACTGGTTCACTCCAAGAGTACATATTCCACAGCCCAGTAAGAGAGGGAAACACACACAGGAAAGGGTGTTAAATGGAAACTTCCACAGGGAAAGATGAGAGTGAGGAGCTCTGTTACCTGCTATATTCACAGATGGACTATCAGAGGCCATCCTAGAGTACTGATGCAGTACTTAACTGTGTGCAGGACTTATGACCACCTTCCTAAAAAACTGACACACACAAGCATATCTTAATACTGGGAAAGAAAAGTTCTGTTCTTAATGCACATTATGAAATTCCCTACTCCTCTGCTCACACGCCATTTTCAGAGCCTGAGCTCTCCTTCCCTATTGCTTCCCCACAGTGGTAAATTCCCATTCTTCTGTGCCTGGGATAGTAGATGCAACAATGATGTGGATTGTAAATATGCTCAGTTCAGCAAGAGCCTAAGCCAGGCAGAACTTTTAAGAGCTATTACAATTTTTCATGGGGTTTTTATGGTTTGTCTTTCTTCATAGACCAATTGCTCCTGCTCTAGGCATCTGGCTATTCAGCTGTTTCCACTGAATAACAGTAACAGTGTGTTCAAGA